CCCCCCCCCCCCCCCCCCCCCGGAATCGAAATCCTGGCTACAGGCCTGCCACTAATGTAGACAAATGAGACTTTCTTGACTAATACCATATTGATCCTTCTACTTTTCTTGATTTTTTAAAATCCTACAGAGTTCTTTATTGATGGCCTTGGCATCCTGCATGTGGGCTCCTGCTCGGATGTGGTGGTGGACCATGCTTCCAAGATCAAGCTGCCCTGGCTGAAGACGGAGAGCGAGAAACAGTATGCCAAATTCCGCTATCCCAACTCAAGTGATGACAGCACCAACGTGAAGCAAAGGCTCTTCTACTTCAAGAACCGTTTCAAATGCATGACAGGCAACTAGTATTCCATTTGGGGCATCTGGCCCAGCCCCTGACTGCTGGCTAAATCCTCAGGCCATTAGGCCTACTGATCTCAGGCAGCCTACTCAGGCACCTGGCCACAACCCTGGGCAAATCGTCTTCCCTGTCAACTAGCCAAATCCCCAGAGCTCAGGGAGGTCTTGGCATCCTTAGGCCTGAAGAGTGGTTTCAGAAATTGGTTGCCACTCCTGCTGTGAGAAAAAAACAAACCGAAAACACTTTTTCAAGTGGGATGGAAAAACTGCACTGTTTTGTTTCTGAGCTTGCACTACTGTGTTACTGTTTTTAGTGGAGCAGGTACTGCTGCCTACACTTGCATTTGTTTGACATATTATGAACTCAAAATCCTAGATGGGAAGTGATACTGGTGCCTGGCCCTGTGAAGCCCTGGGAATTTCCATTTTTCTACTCTGGTTGAAAGAAATGTCTGGCCTCTCTCTGCCCTGCTTCTGCCCCCCCCCCCCTCCTGTTGTATCAAAAATATCTGCCAACACAACCCAAGCATCTGCTGCTTCTGCTTAATTGGAGACGTAATTGGAAGGAGACAGTGCCTGAATCGTGGGGGTTTCTCCAGTGCCACAACTTTTTGTGCCAATTCTTTGCACCTGTGCCCCATTCCCTTCAGTTCTTCCTCTGCAAGCGGGTGCCATCCTTGGAGATCTTGAAGTGCCAAAGACGTCAGTGATGGAAAATTGCCACCAGAGGGAAGCCTTGAGATATACATTGCCGTTGGGGTCAGCGCCAGAGCTCTCAAGCACACTGTAAAATTAATGCACTTCCCATGAATGACTTCTGTGTTTGTGGATGGTCAGATCAGTTTTTTTTCTAATGAAGCAATTTTTTATATGCTGAAGTACAAAGACTGTCAACGAGAAACTGTATTTTTATTATTTCCAACAAAATCCATTTGCCAAGTGTTTTCCCCATATCCCGAAACCCTCTTTTCTTTGCCTTGCTGGTTTCAAACCTGCAACCTTCCTCATTGCTGCTTTTTCTACAATTGGTGGTGATTGGGAATATTTTCAAATCAGGGCTGAATAGGTTTGTTTTTTTCCCTATGTTTACTTCCAATATTTTACTTTAAACAACCTGGGCCATTTAAAGAGAAACACTTCATATAGCTGAAGGCAGAAATGCTTTCTCTGAACTGATTCCCTGTGGATAGTTGGGGCTATGGTTCTTATCAAACCTAATTTACAAGTAGTTAGTTAGGGATCATGAGAGTCTCCACCTGCAAAGACGAGGCTAATGCTATTATTATGGGTTGGGCCCCCTTGTCATGTTAATTTTGCTTAGTATAGGTGGTATGTTCATTGAAGCATTTAAATATGCTGCTATCTATCTGCATCCTGCAATCTTGAAAAAATACTGCTACTTGAATTGGTTGACCAGAGCTTGGGAAGTTTGTTTTTTGGATTACAACACCTAGGGTTCTGTGGTGTGTAATCCAAAAATACTAAACAAAACATTTCTAAACTCCTGTTGACAGTATAAACTACTGCTTGTCTCATTCCCTGGTTTTCAGTGAGATGTAAATGTGATGGCTAGAGGTACAGACCTTGAACGTAGGTGACTCTTTTCTCCAACTTCAGCAAAACGGAAGGACCTATACTTCCAAATGTCTCTTGATAACAATGTGATTTAAATAATTACTCGGGCTAGAGCTTGCTGAATATGACATGAATTCCAGACGTGTTGTTAATGCTCTTTGGGCATTCCTGGGAAGGACAAAGATCTAAAATGGTAGATAGAAACTCTTCAGGCTGAGGGAGACTGCTTAGAAAGTGAGTCCCACCTTCATTCTTGGCTCTCACAAAGGCTGCCTTCTGTCTAACTGATCTTGCAGAGGAAAGGCAGTGTAAATATCTTGGTCAATGGTCAGCAAGTGACTTCCTCAGATCACAACAAAGGAATGCATGAGCCAAAGGTGTTTTCATCTCCAGATCTTGGAATTTAAAGGCCATGCTGGTTAAGAGCATCCCAGTCTGTTTGCAATAGGTACTTTGATAGCCTGAAGTCTCTCTTCTCCTAGTTACTCTTGCCTCCTGCAAGAGAGATTAAGAGTGGGGTGCACTGCAGATACTATGAGTCTTCATCAGGATCCCATTTACACTGCACAGTTATAGCATTACGATCCCACTTTAGCTAGATGACATCATGGTAGTTAAAGTGGAATCACAATTGTGTAATATGAACGTGCCCCAGGTCTCATGTCTTCCCCTACACCATTCCTCAGTTGTATGGGCTGAAACCCATTCTGTCCTTTCCCTTTTGGTTTGAATTGTTTTTCTGTTTAGTGCTGTAAAGAAAGCACTTGAGGGAAGGGAATAAAGCATTTTGTTTAAAAAATAATCTTGTTCTTTTCTGTTGTGAGGAAGGTGTCAAAAGAAGAATGCTAAGATAGGAGGGAATGCAAAACAAGATCCTCCCTCTACTTGTGTAGCAGCAAGCTAATTCGAGGTACTGCTAGCCATGCCACTCTGGGGAAGAGTTGTTGTTGTTGAGTGAGGGCTGTGCTCATCTCATCCTCATTGCTTCCTTCTCCATGAGGCTGTTCCTGACAAGCCAGACTTCCAGTAGTAAACCCTCAGTTTTCATGGCAGCCAGCTGCCTTTAACATGTCTTTGTAATTTCAGATAGTCCATATCCTGGTATGCACAGGTTGGTTGATACACTCCTTGATCCAGAAATGGTTACACCCAGATGGTTGGATCCTTCTGTTCCACATTTTCCTGAGGAGAAACCAAATGCAGTCATCCATTAGGTTCTGAGCTAAACACCAGGGGTTTGCCTCTCCCCTTAGTTCTTGCTACCCACAGATCTTTCTGTCTCATGATTGCACTTGCAATAGGAGTATCGCAACAACAGTGATCCATTTCATAAGATTATTGTAAGGCGTCTTGAGCTATCATGTCATAAACAAAGAGATCAAACCCAATGGATTATAGTCTTCTAGCTTCTGTAATTCACTCCCTTAGAATAAACAAATATCTAACCTGACAGCGAAGATTTATGCTCAGATCTTACTTTTCAGGAAAGAGGACTGAAAAAACTCTAGTTCATTTCCAACAGGATGTGTGGATACCCAAACCACAGATAATAATGAATGCTATTGAAAGATGTCTGGCCAAATAATACCAAAGTCATGCTGGAAGACCTTGAAAATGCTTAAAGAGGTCATGTTTTGTCAGACATGTATAAATGAAATAGCAGGTAACAGTCCTACAGATGTTCAATGTATTGTCGAAGGCTTTCATGGCCGGAATCACTGGGTTATTGTAGGTTTTTTTTGGCAATATGGCCATGGTCTAGAGGCATTTTCTCCTGACGTTTCGCCTGCATCTATGGCAAGCATCCTCAGAGGTAGTGAGGTCTGTTGGAAGTAGTAAAATGGGTTTACATATCTGTGGAATGACCAGGGTGGGACAAAGGACTTTTGTCTGCTGGAACTAGGTGTGAAGGTTTCAACCGACCACCTTGATTAGCATTTAATGGCTTGGAAGTGCCTTGGGGAATCTTTTGTTGAGAGGTGATTTAATGTGCCTGATTGTTTACTCTCTGTTGTTTTGCCGTTGTAATTTTTGAGTTTTTTAATACTGGTAGCCAGATTTTGTTCATTTTCATGGTTTCTTCCTTTCTGTTGAAATTACTAAGGCTGTGCAAAATTACTGTTGAAAGTACTAAGGCTGTGCAAAATTTTCAGTAGTCATCGTAAGTCAGATCAAATTCGTTAAATTTGTACTTACAACACAATATTCAATATGTGGGCATGACCCATGCCCAAAATGTTAGGATCAAAACTTACCCTATACTTTTTGTTTTTAATTTGTAAACCTCAGAAGCTTCCCAGAGTCAGTTTTATTTTCAGTGCAAGGAAGCCAAGCCAAGCCAAGAAGGCTGCCATTCCTCTTTAGATTAATGGCCTCTCATCATTAGGAGAGGGAGGCAGCAGGGAGAAGGCAGAGTTCACTGGGAGACTGAGAAAGCACAGAATTCTGGGAAATGCAGTTTGGGAAGGTGAGGGGTCCTATGCCAGAGAAGTCAAAAGGCCCTGCCCTAAACTACATTTCCCAGAATTCTGCTCAGCATCAGAAAGCCCTAATCAGGAGAGGGGGAGAATCAGGAGAGGGGAGAGATAACGGTAGCCACTCAGAGTTCCAATAAATTGTTGAATTGCAAAGAGGAGTGACTTATATTTCTAGTAAGTAAATCTCTCTGTTGGGCTGGGAAGAAGTCCCTAAATGGAAGTTCTATTGGTTAATATGAGAGACATTCAATAAGATAGTATTGTGGCTTTTTTAAAAAAACCCAAACATTTTGTCAAAACTTAAAAAAAAATCCCTAAAATCAATAGAAGTATGAAAGTTGAGGGGAATGATCCCTGTTATCTTGTGTCATTGTATAGAAAATTCAAGGATATCGCTCTTGTGGGTTTTTTTTTAAAAAATATAAAAACTTTGAAAATTCCCCAACAATCCATGGATAAGTGAAACATACTGAAATTTGATGGGCTAACTGTGGTAAATGTGTTTTATTACTGCAGCAAGTTTTACACTAATAGCCGTAAAAATGAGGGAGAAAGGAGTCCTTGAAGTTTCCACACTTGCTCAATTACTATAAGCACTGTTATAGTAACTACTGTTGCTCCGAATGGATGCTGCTCCTCCTTCAGAGGTGGTCAACACAATCCCTCACCAGATAGCCTTTGTTTGTGGGAGCAGGTGGGGAGCATTTTTCATGTGACACACCTGTGGACTACAAGTGATACACTAATGTGTTGTGATACACAGTTTGGAAAGCTCTGTTCTTGGTCCTTCAGCATGTTCTGTGGTTTTCGTAGGCCAGAAATCCTTCATTTCAACAGGATTTGCTCTTAGTTTCACATATCCACATCTAGGAATGTCTCCCCTGTTAATACAGGGTCATACATTAACATTTTCAGAAATATGAGCCTTTGTTTTCAAGCCAAACAAGAGTGTTCCTGACCTTATTTTGGAGCTTCTTTGAAGCAAAAAGCCCCAAAATCAATCAGTCTGCCTCTCCAGTTTTAAAGGTGTGTGGTTTTGAAGCAACAAGCACAGAGGTTCTCCTGTTCTCCCTCTGCACCCTCAACTACTTACCATTGTCTGCTGGAGATAGGAAGCAGCATCGTGGACTGTGACAAAAATCTGCTGTGGGGGAAGGTGATGCATCAGGCCACAAAAGCTCAAAGTCTGTAGAATGTTGGCTAGATGGAAGATAAGAAGGCAGAAAAAGAAAGGCAACTCAACTCCTGGGACCTTAATCACATTGGAATATAATTCATTTATATCAGTATGCATCCCATATTATTTTTTTTTAGGGCTGGGTGCATACTGTATTGAGACAGAATGCATATTTTCCTGATCACACCTGATTATTATGATTCTTATGATTTGAAAATACCACATTTTGACTCATCACACCACAGAAGGCTGGCTCCTCCCAATCCGTTTAAAACACCCCCTATGTTTTTAATTTGCTTAGGTTGGGTAGGATTTTGGGAGATGGGATTTGTGATTGTTTGGGGGGGGGTTTGCAATTTTTTTCCTCTAGAGATTTGTTCTTTTCTTTCTTTCTTTTTTATATTATTGAAATATTTGTTTTATACGTGTTCTTAAAACACAGTAAAATATATTTGAAAACAGTTTCTTTTAAATGTTAAACAGCATGCCTGAGCCCTGCAGACTATTTTAAAAATGAAGTACCTCCTGGAAATTTCCAGGAGAGGAAATTCATCTCCCTCTTTGCAGGGAGGCAGCTGAAAAAAAGATGTCAAGGGGATCAGAAACTAGAGCTGATGCGGTCTATCCAATGCAATTTTCTGCACCCCAAATAACCAAACTGAATCTAAAGTTGACCAAAAACTGATTTGTAATCCTGTTGGTACTAATGTTGGAGAGTGGTCCCTGCTCAGAAAGTTCCTGGTCAAGTGGTCCCTGATTTAAAAGAAAAGGTTGGGAACCATTGCTATAGCTGGATGCACAACCACCATGTAATGCTTTGCAGTTTCCAAGGTGCCAGGTGATGGCCTTTGTTATTCCGTGTTTGGCTATAGGGATGTCTATGACCAGTCACCAAAAGGCCATGGAGATCCTTTCTGTATAAGTAACAAACAGAAGTGATTTTTTTCCATGTCAGGAGTGACTTGAGAAACTGCAAGTCGCTTCTGGTGTGAGAGAATTAGCCATCTGCAAGGACGTTGCCCAGGGGACACCCGGATGTTTTGCTGTTTTACCATCCTTGTGGGAGGCTTCTCTCATGTCCCCGCCAAATGGTGAGCTGGAGCTGACAAAGGGAGCTCATCCACGTTCTCCCTGGATTAGAACCTCAGACCTGTCGGTCTTCAGTCCTGCCAACACAAGGGTCCTCAAACATTTTAAACAGAGGGCTAGGTCACATTCCCTCAAACAGTTGGAGGGCTGGATTATAATTTGAAAAAAGCATGAATGAATTCCTATGCACACTGCACATATCTTATTTGTAGTGCACAAAACACTTAGAAACAATACAATAATTAAAATGAAGAACAATTTTAACAAATATAAACTTATTAGTATTTCAATGGGAAGTATGGGCCTGCTTTTGACTGATGAGATAGGATTGTTGTTCTTGTTGTTGTGTGCTTTCAAGTAGTTTCAGACTTAGGTTGACCCTGAGTGAAGGCCGGGTAAATGACCTTGGAGGGCCATATTTGGCCCTCGGGTCTTAGTTTGCGGACCCCTGGTTTAACCCATTGCACCACCGGGGGCTCTAGAAGGGAAACAACCTTTTTTTCAAATTTTGTTACAAAGTCTTATTTCACAAAGAAGTGAAATTTTGTTACAAAGAAGTGATATAACACTTTGTAACAAAATTAGAAAAAAGTTCCTTGTTTGAAAGTGCTGTTTCCTGTTTAATTGTGTAGTACCTACTTAGAAAGTCACCGTTATACTCCAGAAACTTTGTTTTTGTGGCTGCCACCAACTAGGTTGAATTGGTTGAGACTCTATGAGATATACATTGGAAAACTATAGCAAAATGTGCTGCAGGATGTCCCACAAAAACAAAGTTTTTACAATTTAATAACACTTTTCCAAGTTTTTATGACAGTATCAATTAGAAAATGACATTTATAACCCGGGAACAAAAATCATGTTAAACAGTGTAATTTAATGACACTATCTAAACATACACTTTCCTCCACTACAGTTTACAGAAGCATGCAGTCATTAAAAAAAAAAACCAGCATCAGTTGACAGGCAAGGATGTCTGACAGCATCTCTTAAGTCACTCACCATTACAGGCTGCCAAATGCATCTGCACCCCAGCTTTCTGGCATTCTACACACACCTGCAAGGCAAGGACATGTACAAGGATGCCTGAGTGAACCCCAAACAATCTCAATGAGTCCCCTGGAACAACAGCTCTGGTTTGCCAACATCCCCAGGATACGGCATTCTTTTAGTGAGCAGCTAGAATTTCTGCACAACAGGATCCAGAATGCCTGTATTTCATGCTAGCATGCTTTTACTGCTAGCATGTTTTTCATTCCAGGCAATAAGAGAAGCACACATTTTTCTCCCTGAGAGAGACATCCCAGCTCAGCTATTCAACAACAAACCAGGGAGGACTTTTGGTAAAACTAAGGAGGTATGGCTTAAGTGACCTGGATAAATGGGAAACCACATGTGAACCAGATGGAAGCTGAGGTGGCTCAGTTAATGCAAAACACGATCATAACGGGGGGGGGGGGGGGTGGGGGGTTGCTCCATTATCATTAGTGATCACTTCTCCCACCATCCACTTCATCACATTTACTAAATTCCACTGAGTTCTACACTTTAGAAGGGGTAACCCACTGTGTTCATCACATTAGGTTGGGTTCAAGTGTAGGGTAGAGCATTCTTTCTGTGTCAAAAGCATTGGGAACAGCTAACTTTTCAGATGTTTCAAGATCTGGTTGGGAAGTGGATTTTTGATCCAGATGTAGATGGGCAAAATGACCAATTCTGTAATGTGATGGCATTTATTGTTCTCAGGTTTAAAATGATACATTCATAATCCTCCTCTGAGGAAAAGGGGGGAGGGGTGTCCTCTGGTTTAATGGATTCCCCCCCCCCCCAGTCCAAACTCATTCTGCCTTCTTGGCCACGGATGATGGGATTTGCAGTACTTTCACCTGCTTTGGATCCAACTTCAATAGAACACTGTGACCCCTACGAATGACCAACCTGGACTAAACAGAGAAGACCCCTGACCAACTAAATATACTGGAGAGGTTTGGGGAGAATTGACCTTGATTATTGGGAGTTGTAGTTCACCTGTATCCAGAGATACTGTGACCTCCACTGACAATGGACCAGGACCAAACTAGGCACAGAGAACACCTCATGACCAACTGAACATACTGCAGGGGTTTGGGGGGAATTGATCTTGATTTTTGGGAGTTGTGGTTCACCTGTATCCTGAGAGCAATGGACCCCACTGACATTGGATCTGGACTAAACTTAGAGTTCACACCCAACATGATAGTATCTGCTGAAGTTCTTCTGCTAATTCAAACGCAGGTGACATGGGGCCCCAGGGTTGCATGTAGCATTGATCACTGGGTGTACTTCGCCTATCCTGAGTTTAGGCGTAATGGTTGTGAGCAATATATGTTCTTTTTGACTATACATTCACCATTCCCACCCCCTTGAAAACACGTGAGCACACTCGCCATTTGACACACCTGAATAAGGAGCCGGGCTCCAGCTGAATCAACAAAAGACACTCCACTGCAGTCAAGAATCACAGCCTGTACTGCTATGCCTGAAAGAGCAAACAAGACACACCAGAGATCAGTCCAAACTATACAGTGGCACCAAGGATATTTGGTTCTTTGCACATGGTCAGAAACACACCATTCCCCAGCCAGAACAGAGGAAAGCTAAATGTAAAACTCTCATCTCAGATTCATGCACAAATATTTTGGCTAGTTCAGCCCAATGCAGGAAAGGACTTAGCTATTGATCACTGGCTAGTGGTACTGAACTCAGAAATAATGTTAAGTAAATTGTATGACCATCATCACATGCAGGGTAGTCTCTGCTTCTTTCTGGAATATATCACTCTGGAAGATTCAGGAAATGAATATTTTCCCATTTCACAGTTCAGATTGCATATTCACCAAGAAATCAGAAGGAAATTACCCTTTGTTTACCTGAGTTTTGCTTTTGCTCCAAAACAGAGACACTGCTCTCCTAGGAGAGAAATTCAAAAAATTAGTGGCCACATAGAAGAGGGGAAGAAAACAAGGTTCTTCACCAGAGACAGAGTAAAATCTCCAACACTGGGTTTGTTTTCATTTATTTATTTGAAATGCATTTGTCCCACGTCATCAAAGGATATTCCTATGCACCTGGATGATCATTTAGCACGAGGGCTGACAATGTGACAATGTTCAGGTGGAGATGGACTGTAGCAACCAGCATCCTTCACCATTGCTGACTAAAGCTCATGAGAGTTGTTCTCCAACAACATCTGAAACGTCAGACATTGCTCATCTTTGTCACCGTTTTTTTTAAAGCAAGTTCTGTTCATTTTTTAACTCATTAGGGGCTAATGGCAGGGTTAAACAGTCAAGAACATCACATAACATATATAATGTTCCTTGGGGGGCCTCTCATTTATGGAGCCATCAATGTTTGATTAACTGTTTGGTTGTTTAGAGCAGTGCTAATCTGCTCTCAGTGCCTAGCTAATGTATAAGCATGTGCATTAATATTCCACTACGTAATACTTGACCATGGGTTCAACTGTCTATTTTTTATTCTAGCTTATATTCAGGCTTATATTCTATGTTTCATAGAATCATAGAGTTGGAAGAGACCTCATGGGCCATCCAGTCCAACCCCCTGCCAAGAAGCAGGAATATTGCATTCAAAGCACCCCTGACAGATGGCCATCCAGGCTCTGTTTAAAAGCTTCCAAAGAAAGAGCCTCCACCACAATCCGGGACAGAGGGTTCCACTGCTGAACGGCTCTCAGCCTCTCACAGTCAGGAAGTTCTTCCTCATGTTCAGATGGAATCTCCTCTCTTGTAGTTTGAAGCCATCGTTTTGTGTCCTAGTCTCCAGGGAAGCAGAAAACAAGCTTGCTCCCTCCTCCCTGTGACTTCCTCTCACATATTTATACATGGCTATCATATCTCCTCTCAGCCTTCTCTTCTTCAGGCTAAACATGCTCAGCTCTTTAAGCTGCTCCTCATTGGGCTTGTTCTCCAGACCCTTGATCATTTTAGTTGCCCTCCTCTGTCAATATTTCTCTTCAATTGTGGTGCCCAGAATTGGACACAATATTCCAGGTGTGGTCTAACCAAGGCAGAATAGAAGGGTAGCATTACTTCCTTAGATCTAGACACTATGCTCCTATTGATGCAGGTCAAAATCCCATTGGCTTCTTTTGCTGCTACATGACATTGTTGACTCATTTGGACAACAAATCCCATAGCTGCTCATCATTGACTATTCTCTGGGAGCCTCCGGGAGCTGAAGTCCAAAACATCCCCAATGACAAATAACTTCTCCTGCTTTATTTATTATTTATTTTATTTATTTGATGTACTTATTGACCGCCATTCTCAGCCCTTACGGGAGACTACAGTTCTGTAGTTATTACAGTTCTGCCTGGCAGCTGCTTTCTAAAACCATTCTACCACATGCTTGGATCTACCAAAGAGCTGTGATGAACAATAAGAGGAATTGGGTGCATTTGAATTCTAGCCAGTATGTCACTCCATATATTCTCCCACACTACACCATTTCAACCCTTCAGAGCCAAAACATACCACAGTGCTGATGTCCATCTTAATCCTATTGTCTAGATCTTGGTCCTTGTGCTGCTTCATGATGTCTTCCAGTCCCACAAGTTGACTCAGAGTATCACGAAAGAAACTGCGATTGCCATAATAAATGGGGGCTTGGTAGCTTAAAATCTTGACACCTGGGACCTCGAAGCACTGAGAAACAGGAACAGGGTAGATAAAGAGATTACAGATGCATCAGTGAGCTTGGTGTGCCTCATGTTAGCCTTAACCAGTTGCCACATTTGATCAGCGGTTCCCAACCTTTGGTCCTCCAGTTATTTTGGACTTCAACTCCCAGAAATCACAGGCAACTTAGGAATTATGGGAGCTGAAGTCCAAAACACCTCGAGGACCTATGGTTGGGAACCACTGCATTAGACAATAACTTGCATAGTCCCCCAATTAGCTTGCTGGCTGGCTTTCTTATTTATTTATTTATTTATTTATTTATTTATTTATTTTGTATGCTTATATACCGCAATATCTCAGCCTACAACGGCGACTCATTGCGGTTAACAGTACTTAAAAACAACAATAATCAAACAATTTAAAAGCATAAAAAACATATACAGTACACAGTATCGGGCCACCAATACCGACCAATGCATCTCTTAGTTAAAATCATAATCCGAATTCATCGTCAATAATTACCAGTCCTTGTCATCAACTTCATCGCACCGGATTACCCGAATGCTTGTTCAAACATCCATGTCTTAAGTTTTTTTCGAAATACCAACAGCGAGGGAGCTGATCTTATCTCTATAGGGAGGGCATTCCAAAGCCGAGGGGCCACCACAGAGAAGGCCCTGTCTCTCGTTCCCGCCAGCCGCACTTCTGAAGCCGGAGGGACAGAGAGCAGGGACTCTCCAGAAGATCTTAGGGTCCTGGTGGGCTGATAGGCTGAGATACGTTCGGATAGATATGTTGGGCCAGAACCGTTTAGGGCTTTAAAGGCCAATGCCAGCACTTTGAATTGGGTCCGGTAGCTAATCGGCAGCCAGTGGAGCTGGTACAGCAGAGGAGTTGTATGCTCCCTGCGCCCTGCTCCTGTTAGTACCATGGCTGCCGCCCGTTGGACTAGTTGGAGCTTCCGAGCCGTCTTCAAAGGCAACCCCACGTAGAGAGCGTTGCAGTAGTCAAGGCGGGATGTAACCAGAGCGTGGACTACCGTGGCCAAGTCAGACTTCCCAAGGTACGGTCGCAGTTGGCGCACGAGTCTTAACTGTGCGAATGCTCCCCTGGTCACCGCCGAAACCTGGGGGTCCAGGCTCAGCGCTGAATCCAGGATCACACCCAAACTTTCTTTCCTCCCTTCCTTCTCTTTATACAATTGCCTGGCTTATTCCTAAGGCATCCTTAATGAAAATGTATTTTAAAATGAATGAGATTTGAGATCAACTACTAAGTATACTCTACTAAGTAGTTTCGCCTGGCACTACTCTTCTCCCAACCCTGTCTTACTGGTTAGCAGCCACTACAACCAACTGAGGTCTGTTCTCTTGACCAAGAGACTGACATTTCCCTCCTTCTGCCACCATCAATTTCTGGTGCAACCATCAGGAGCAGGATCTCAGTCACAATTCCACCTTGAATCAGAATTGCTTATGGGAGGGAGGTGGAAATGTCAGTCTGCTAGGTCCTGATCAATAAGAGAACAGATCTCCATCACTTGCAGTGGCAGATGCTTAGTATGGCAGGACCAGAGGACTTCTCCAATTTCTTACACTAGTGGTTCTCAACCTGTGGTCTGGGGACTCCTGGGGAGGGGAGGGCAGCGATGTCATCACAGGGGGGCTGCAAACAATTCAGTTATTAACTACTATTTGTGTTGATACTGTTATTTTCAATTTGTATGGAATCATTATAATCAAAATATGATATTACCGTAGAATAGGAATGTGTACATTAACAAATTTGCTTATATCCCCTTCTCTCTAAATTTAAAGGGCGGCGGCCAGATTGTTAACTGGTGCTCCTTAAAGGGAGAGGTCAACCCTCCTGTTTAAGGAGCTCCATTGACTGCCGTTCATTTTCCGGTCCCAATTCAAGGTGCAGGTGCTTACCTACAAAGCCCTAAACAGTTTTGGACCAGCCTACCTGCGTGACCGCATCTCTGTATATGAACCCACACGATCTCTCCAATCTGGATAGGCCCTGCTCACGATCCCACCTGCGTCGCAAGCGCGATTGGTGGGGACGAGGGACAGGGCCTTCTCCGTGGTGGCCCCCCGACTCTGGAACTCTGGAACTCTCTCCCCAAGGATATCAGACAAGCCCCAACATTGGCAGTCTTTAGGAAGAGCTTGAAGACGTGTTTGTTCCAGTGTGCCTTCCCAGAATAGGAAACTCCTAGCATCATGTCCCAATTGCACTTTATTAGAGATTTAAGATTGTCTGCACACTGCACCTATCTCCAAAAACCTATCCATCTCATCTGTCATGTTCAGCATTTTAAAATTTTAATCATTACATTTGGCCTGGCCTTAGTTTTAAATGTGTCATGGTCTTACTGTCTAATGTTTATTGCTATTGTTTTAATGTTTATTGCTTGTTTTATGACTTTATTTATTGTTGTATTTGTTATGCTGTTTATTATTATTATTATTATTATTATTATTATTATTATTATCTTCTTGTGTCTTAAATTTTAAGTCTTGGGGTCTGTGGCTACAAAGGGTATTTAAAACGGGGTCCACGGTGAAGAAAATACTGAGAACCACTGCCTTAGGTAATTGTATGTAGTTTTATGAATACTAATCAATTGAGAACTCTAATTAATGTATCTGTAATGGTGACTGCATATTCTAAGCTATACTTTCAGGGAAATTTACATGGTTTAGGAGGGAAAAGAAAGATATAAATCTGCCATAATTATTTAAACCTTTTTTGCCACCATTTAATAAAAGAATTCCACCTTATTTCTAACTTTTAGGCCAGTGATGTTGCCAAAGGACCACTTCCATCATATCTGATCACTGGATTTGATGGGAACCCCCAGTGGCACAATGGGTTAAACCCTTGTGCCAGCAGGACTGCTGACCAACAGGTCAGCAGTTCAAATCCAGAGAGAGAGCGAGTTGAGCTCCCTCCATCAGCTCCAGCTCCCCATGTGGGGATATGAGAGAAGCCACCCACAAGGATGGTAAAACATCAAACATCCTTGTAGACAGCCAATTCTCTCACACCAGAAGCAACTTGCAATTTCTCAAGTTGCTCCTGACATGAAAAAAACTGGTTTTGATGGGGGTTTGAAGTCCAACATCAGCTGTTTAACCATACCTATTCCACCACTACTACATGCAGGCCCGTAGCCAGGATTTCGATTTGGGGGGGGGGGGGGGCTGAGTTTTTTTCAGGAGGGGTTGGGGGGGGCTGAGTTTCGGGGGGGGCTGAGTCTGAGTGAGAGAGGTTCTACCCTAGCAAACCTTTTGTATCGTTACCCCAATACCCCCATGCATATGGGATATATTGAGTATGGTGATCAGATCATGATATGAATAAACATAACAGTTTAAATAATGCACCAGTAAGGCCTTCTCGCAAACTACCATGAGAATTTCGGAGGGGGGGGGGCTGAAGCCCCTCAAGCCCCCCCCCCCTCTGGCTACATGCCTGACTACATGCTATATTTTTTTCTATTTCAGATCCTAAAAATGGTCAAACACTGATGGCACAATCATAAACAACCTTATTCAGATGAATCTCCCACAGGGTTCACTAGGGCTTACTCTAAAATAATTGATTCTGGGATTTAAAAGGTAAGATGGTAGAGGAGAGGTGGGCACTTATAACTAGAAGTTGTCTTATTGTTTTTCGAAACTTTGTGCATGTTCAGCCAGTGAGCTTAATGGGCAATGTAGTCCTAGGGAAGTCTGTCAGCAGCTCCAGATTTCATCATCAAAGATTTATGTTGCTTGTAAGGGCTGTTTTGGGACTTCACTTACAGAGCTGTGTATACTGTATATGTTTCCAAGTCTCCGCCACTCTTACCTTGCTGTTGTACTTGACAGGCTTATAGATCTCTGTGTCAGCTGCCCTGCCCAGCACTGAGCATTCAGCCCTGTAAGATTGAGGAAGTGATACAACAGAGACATTGGCATTAGCCTGGACAGAATTATCCAATACCCAGCAAGCCCTAGGCTTCTTCTCAGCAATGATGGCGACAACTTTGCTAGGAGATGCATTGACTAAAAAATCTGAGTGTATTGGCCTTGTAAAAGAGAATACATTCTGGTATTTAAGACTTGATTTCTGCCCCACCTTTCCAATTGCTCAAGAAAAGTGGTCATAGGATAGATCTAAAATACACTAGGTCCACTGTTTGACAGTCTCCTGAATCAATTTATATGAGCTCCCAGGACTTCGCTAGTTGCAATACTGACACAAATGATTTATATTCCCAATTTAGTTGGAAAACCCCATTCTGAATGGCTTTAATATTGAAATTGTTATGGCAAGACTGAATCCTTGGTCTTCCAGCATTGACATACAGGTATATCCCAAAGCATTCAAAGGGTTTGAAAGGGTCTGGGAAGACTGTACATGGCAGCTAGGAGATATAAATCATATCCATTTTTTTTGCCTTTTCAGAAGTGGCCTTCTGCAAGGATGGTGCCCAGGAGATGCCAGGATGTTCCACCATCCTGTAGGAGGCATCTCTCATGTCCCCGCATGGGAACCTAGAGCTGACAGATGGAAGCTCACCTCATCTCGCAAATTCAAGTCACTAACCTTCAGGTCAGCAGTTCAGCCAGCACAAGGGTTTAACCCACTGCGCCACTTGTCCAATTAAAAACCAAGAAGTAACAGGTAAAGTAGGAGAAAGAGAGAAGTGTGCTGCCCATACCTCTGCGTGCGGCAAACTACAGTCATCATGGAGAATATAATCCCCACTGCCAAGCCGAGGTCCACACTGAGTACAACCACAGAGAGCCACGTGACTACCCAGATAGCCTGTCATGGATAATAAAAGACAGAACCATAAGCAGTCTCGGAAAAGCAAATGTACTGCCAGGAGAGCAATCTAAGATTATCTCCCCCCAAATCCCTTGATTTATCATTTTTAACTTTGGAACCACTGCACAACAACCCAGAATCCCCTAGCCAGCAGGAATAAATTTTTGAAGTCGTAGTTCAAAAAAGTAACATCTCCAAACTCAGGTTTCCCATAGTAATATGAAAGTATACAGTACTAGCTTTGCCTTTCTGTTTGCCTTTTGTCTATGGGCTTCTGATGAATTGTGCAGATGATCTTCAAAATCTGCTGTGGTAAAATCCTACCATATGAGAAAACTACGCCACCAGGAAATCTTTAAAAGACTGTTGGCACAGTGGATAAAAAACAGACTCTTTTACAAGAAGAGTTTAATGACAGACACAAGAATAATGGTTTATGGGGAAACTTCAAACTTAGGGTATACTACACTAGAATTAATGCAGTTTGACACCGCATTAACTGCCTTCTCTGGTGCTTCACCAAACTACATGCACAATGGAGGACTTTCTTATAGTAACACCAGAGGCACTCCAAGTGGCCAGCTACTGTTCAAAGGACATTTAATCAACTACCAAGCCTGCAAACTTTGTGCTTTGTTTGTTTGTTTGTTTGTTTGTTAAAAAATGCAGTACAACTGTTTGGTTTGCTCCTGACATGATAAATAAATAAACTATAACTACAACTTCATTTTTTTTGACGTGTCAGGAGCAAGTTGCTTCTGGTGTGAGAGAATTTGCTGTCTGCAAGAACGTTGCCCAGGGGATGCCTGGATGCTTTGATGTTTTTATCATCCTTGTGGGAGGCTTCTCTCATGTCTCCGCATGAGGAGCTGGAGCTGATAGAGGGAGCTCATCTGCCTCTCCCCGGATTTGAACCTGCAACCTGTTTAACCCACTGCACCACCGGGGGCTCCATTACAACTTCCATGATTGCATGGCATTCAGCCATAGTAATTAAAGTGGTGTCAAATTGCATAAATTCTACAGCATAGAAGCTCTTCAAAATCAACTCCCATCAAACCTAGCCAATCTAATCTGTGGTAAAGTATGATGAGAAAAGTGGATTCCCAATATCTACAGGAGGGAAAATTCTCCATCCTTGTAATACATCAATATATTTGCAAAGGGAAGCAATCTAGTTGCAACAGTTGTTTCATAAATATGTTTGATAGGCAGGTAATATATACAGAGCTTTATTGTGGAAAACTATATTATAAATCGGTCCAATTTCAAATGCAATTATTGCTTACAAAGTCAATGCGGCTGATCCTCCAGAGCTCAGGTAGATCCTGGAATTGCAGAAACATCTGCCGAAGACTAGTGACATTAATGCAAGCCAGGACGCACTAGAAAATATGAACAACATCTCAGGTATGCTTTGCCATATTTTGCCCAATGGCAAAAAAGAAGGTGACACATTACATGCATATCAGAAAAGGTCATTTCAAACCTGCATTTGCAAGCACATGCAAAAAAGACACTCTAAACCAATGGTTGAGAAATGGTATTTTGAGCCACAGCTCTAACTTTCTGGGGTTGCTTTTTACAACACGATGACTTTATATAACACAATAACTATATCCTGTTTTCACCATCTCAGGATATGTACACTTAGGTCAACCTAAACCCATCACGTCTAACTTGGAACAGGACTAAACTGGAAAAAGTATGTGATTGCTTTGTGAGAATCTTACAACCGGTCTGGTCTGGCAGATTCTTTCTACCTCATAACACTGTGGATGCATTGATTTCATGTACTTATTGGGAAGCAGAATTGAAATATGTACTGGCTCCAAACACTAATTAATATTGCATGATATTATAAAGGAATGCCTCTCTTTGGGCTACTTTTCTCTCGTAGCCTTTGTTATAAGCCTTATTCCACTGTTTTAATTAAGAGTTTACTCCTCATGGTTTCTGATCCTGTAAATGCTTCCTATTTGGATATTTGGAATTACTCACAGACCTCTGAAAAAGTCAATGGGTGGCTGGCGAGGGGTGTGTATGTCAAATACTATTTTCATCCTGGTTATTCCCACCACCTTCTTGTAAAGTAGTGCTAGTTCACAATTTATAAAGAATACAAGAAATGAGAGGAATTATCTGAGAAAGTAGAGACTCTCCACACTGCGGAATTATAGCAATTTGACATCACTTTAACTGCCAGAACTCTATTCTATAGAATTCTGGGATGTCTAGTTCCTTGTGGCGCAAGAGCTTTCTGACAGAACAGGGTAAATATCTCATAAAACTACAAGTCCTAGAATTTCATAGTACAAAGTTAATATGGTATCAAATTGATACATTTTTTGCAGTGTGGATACAGTTCTAGAGCCCTTCCAGACAGGCCCTATATCCCAGGATCGGATCCCAGGTTTTCTGCTTTAAACTGGATTATATAAGTTTGCACTGCTAGATAATTTGGGATAAACAGAAAACCTGGGATCAGATCCTGGACTATAGGGCCTGTCTGGAAAGGCCCTAAGTCTGCGGAGGCTTATGTTACCAATGTTCTCTGACACTTCTTCCACAGGCACTTAAATCCCAGGATCCGATGCCAGATAATCTTCTTGTCCCAGATTATATGGCAGTGGAGACTCATATAATCCAGTTAAAAGCAGATAATCTGGGATCAGATCATGGGATATAGGGCAGTGTAGAAGAGGGCTCAGGTTGATTCTCCCTGAGCCCACTTTAACTGCACTGGTTCAGTGCTATAGAGTCTCAGAAGTTGTAGTTTTACAAGGTCTTGAGACTTCTCTGCCAAAGATTGCTGGTGTTTCATCAAATTAGAAATCCTAAAATTCCATAGCACAGGGACAGGACAGTAAAAGTGATGTCAAACTATATTGCTTCTGCCATGTGAATGTATCCTTAGTTAGTCTTTAAGATGCTACAAGTAACTTTGTATACTGATATTCCAGACTAACGTGGTTATGTCTTTGAGATGAACAGTACTCAAAGTATCACAGGTCTGGATATAAAAACAAAACCTGACAAAGTTAGTTATTTTTGGGTTGGTGTAGGTTTTTTCGGGCTATATGGCCATGGTCTAGAGGCATTCTCTCCTGACATTTCACCTGCGTCAGGAGAGAATGCCTCTAGACCATGGCCATACAGCCCGAAAAAACCTACAACAACCCAGTGATGAAAGCCTTCGACAATACATTAGTTACTTTTATCAGTAATTCTACAATTACATTGAACAAGAAGGAATCAGAGGCAAAACCACAAAAAAGGAAGCTTCGAATGAAAGAGACATTATCCCTGAAAAGATTCAGTAATGTATTGTCGAAGGCTTTCATGACTGGAATCACTGGGTTGTTGTAGGTTTTTTCGGGCTATATGGCCATGTTCTAGAGGCATTCTCTCCTGACGTTTCACCTGCATAGATGCAGGCGAAACGTCAGGAGAGAATGCCTCTAGAACATGGCCATATAGCCCGAAAAAACCTACAACAACCCAGATTCAGTAATACTTTTTAAGTCCATACTGCAACTGTATGTTATCTTTTAAAATACAATAATAGGATTGTACAGAAGTTGATTGTAAATGATAAGATTGTAACTGTATTGGTGTTGCACTGGTTGCCCTAATGCTGGAGCGGCCTAGCTGTGAGGAGTGTGTTACCATGGAAACGATGCTGTAGAGAAGTGGGAGGAGCTTAGAGAGGAGAGTTTTTGAAAAGCGACAGTTAAAGTTAGGGTTTAGGTCTTATGCTCAGAGGAATGAAGAGTCATGAAGAGTTAGGTTTTATGCTCAGAGGAATGAAGAGTTAGGTTTAGGCTCAGGGAAGTGAAGAGTTGAGAGAGAGAGAGAGAGTGGGAAGTAGAGAAGCAGTGTTTGTGAATAGTCGGAGGTTTCTTCAGTTCGGAAGGCTGAAGGGGAAACCTTATTAGTTTCATTAGTTAGAGAAGACTAATAGAAGCTTGTTTAGATCACTAGTTAAAAGTGAACTAGAGATCTGAGGTTTGATCACGGAAGGATCAAACAGGAAGACTATTCACCTCAGGAAACATTGTTTAATAAAGTGCTTCACCACAGCAAAAGTTATTTATAAGTTGTAACATCAGAAGTCTGTACTGTATCGCAACCAAGTTATATGTAATGTTCTCCAAGTATCTTCCAAGTTTATCACCAAACTGCAACCATACGCTTTGTTTCAAAATAAACTTGTTCTCTTTGATTTTAAGACTGCCTCATCTCCATTGATTCGGCGTTCAGTGTGCCCAATCTCCCAAAATTACCTCACATTACAAATTGGTGGCTCTATTAAGAATAATAAATAATAAATCGTAACTTCTCTCTCCTGAAAACCCCTTTTCTTTGAATTGGGGCAAGCACTTCGCAAGGATGCAATGTGTTGGAAGCAGGGAGATCTTTATTCTCTACAAAACAGAGAGATTTAAAACTGTAAATTTCAGACTAAATAACTAATGTAGAAGTCCTTTCAGTAAAGAAACATGTGTACATCTCGTATTTCACCTCCAAAACTGGGCCTTTTTCCAAAAATAAGAAAAAGTCAACATTGTCCACCAAGGAAACAGAAAATCTGCAAACAATTAATTACCTCAGTTGATCAAATCAGTCAAAGAGTAAACACATATAATTATTCTTTGTTTGAGATTGAAGGGAATAACATATTGCCCTGTTGGATTATAATCTATCCCTGTCCTTCTGTTTAGTTTACCTTGGGCAAGTAGTAGAAAAGTGGGCCAATCCACATCAAGACAATCAGGACAATAGCACTAGTAAAAAGACCGGAAAGCTGTGGACAAAAGAAGTTGATTAGTCAAAGTTGACAGAAAGGACATTAGGTCTAGAGGGAATCAAATAGCATTATGTATTCGCACTACTCCGCTGTACAGGTAGGTAGAAATATCTCACACCAACTATGGGTGTTTCTGTGAGATCATCAGAAGAGGCCCTCCTCTCAATTTCACCACAATCACAAATACGGTTGGTGGGAATGAGACAGGAGGCCTTATCGGTGATGACTCTGTGGCTCTGAAACTCCCTCCCCAAAGAGGCACATTTGGCGCCCTCATTATTGGCCTTTTGCTCCCAGATGAAAAACTTTTTATAGAAGCAGGCCTTCCCTAACAATACACAATAGCAACTTATCTCAGTCAGACAAGGCTCACATGGCCAAAGACTTGAAGCTCCGAGATATTTAATTTAATGCTTTAATTTTTAGGACAATCTTCAGTGGCCTGAGGCATAGAGATTTTAATGTTAAGGTTAATAATAATGGTATAGGTGGTTATTTTTATGCTTACTTATATTTATGTAATTTGTGTTTTATGCATTGTGTTGATTTAATGTTTTATATGTCGTGTTGGGGGGGATGATGGTTATCTGTATTATGTATTATGTAATTTTTTTTTTTTTTCTGTTTTGATCACCGCTTTGAGTCCCATCTGTGGGAGAATAGCAGGATAAAAGTAAATAAGTAAGTAAATAATAATAATAATAATAATAATAATAATAATAATCTACAAGCAGAGGCATAACATCATTGCTCAGATGATTCATTGGAACTTGTGTCACAAATGCCGTCTGCCTGCAACAAAGAACTGGTGGGATCACAAAGAGTTGGGATCGGAAAGAGTTACAGAGAATGAATACGCCAAACTCCTCTGGGACTTCCAGATTCAGACAGACAGAGTTTTGGAGCATAATACTCCTGACCTCACAATTGTGTTAAAAAACAAAGTATGGATCGTCAATGTCGCAATCCCAGGTGACAGCAGGATTGCAGAGAAACAACTGGAAAAGCATACACAATATGAGGATTTAAAGATCGAACTGCAAAGACTCTGGCACAAACCAGTAAAGGTGGTCCCAGTGGTGATTGGCACACTGGGTGCAGTGCCTAAAGACCTTGGCCTGCACTTAAACAGAATCAGCGCTGACAAAATTACCATCTGCCAGCTGCAGAAGGTCACCTTACTAGGATCTGCATGCATTATTCGCCGATACATCACACAGTCCTAGACACTTGGGAAGTGTCCAACGTGTGATCCAATTCAACAGTGGACTCATCTTGTTGTGTTTCTAATCTACTGTGGACTCATCTTGTTGTGTTTCTAATAATAATAATAATAATAATAATAATAATAATAATAAATCTAGATTTTGAGTTTGTAAAGGCCGAGGATCCCTACAAAGAAAGAAAGTTATTTGTCTTTATCCAAACATGCTCCTTTTGTTTATCAAATCTCAAATCCAGTCCTAGGCCAACTCTTTCTTCGTGTCACCTGTATGCATGGTTCACTGCCTTAGATAGCCTTTTCTTTCCATCCCACCTGGCCCAAGAAGGCAGAAAGCAAGGCACGCTGTAGCCAAAACACCCCAGAGGCCTTATGTTTGCTATTTCCAAGACATTTTGTTGTACGAAAGAAAAAAATCAAATGGTATCCCACCACTACTACCATTCTACAGATATAAACTCAAACTGGATGGCTGATTGCATTTACTTTACCTAGTTATGATGGGATAGCATTTTCTTTAATGCTTCAAAACAGTGGGCTCATCTAGGGGACTGTAGGATCAAAGACACCTCCTTCCTTTAGCCCTCTGTTGCCCGTACCCATAGACCCCAACATTAGCAGTCTGGGGAAGCTTCCTCATTCCACCAATGGTAGGGCCGATTTAGGCCTTGTACCTGCGTGTGTCCACCAGCACTTTCCAAGATGTTGGTTGTAGCCAGTGTGGCCGAACTGGGGAAACAGGTGAATAGGGAGGAGACCACGTTTGAAAGTCCATGAGCCAGGAGTTCCTGTGGGAGAACAAAAGCAAGTAAGAAGAAACCCATGAGAGAATGGGGGAATATCTGAACCTGAAACTGCTTTGGCACAAGAGGAGGTGGGGATGAGAGCAGAGCTGGAGTAGGGGGAAGAATGCCTAACCTGAGCCTGCATTCTCATGGGATATTGCAAAATATCTGTTAGTGAAAGCCCTGAGACCTCACAGGCATCCCCATAAATTGTTGTTTCTGCTGTATGCCTTCAAATTGTTTGTGTCTCATGACACCCCAAGGTGACCCTATAATTGGGTTTTCCTGACATGATTTGTTCAGAGGAGGTTTGTTTTTGCCTTCCTCTAAGGCTGCGAGAGTATGAGTTGTCCAAGGCCACACAGTAGTTTCCATGGTCAGGGGGGAAATCAAACACTAGTCTCCAGAGCTTTAGTCCAATATTGAAACTACACACCACACTGGTTCTCTTATTCCCATAAATTCTTCACATAATGTATTGCCAAAGGCTTTCATGGTCAGAATCACTGAGATGTTGTGTAGTTCCCGAGCTGTATGACCGTGTTGTAGCAATGTTTTCTCCTGACATTTCACAGCATCTGTGGCTGGATCCTCTGGAGATGCCAGTCACAGATACAAGTGAAACATCAGGAGAAAATGCTACTAGAACATGGCCATAGAGCCTGGAAACCACACACTTCACAGAACATTGGTTAGAAGGTTCCCTATGTGGAAGTACATACAAGATAATACATTAGCTTGAACTCTCCTTATCTTACTTGGATTTAAAAGTGTCTTCTTTACAGTTTGGGGAGCTCAGGCAAAGACTGTTTATAGAGAACTGAGGGCGCTTCCAGACAGCATGAAAATGCGGGTTTTAAAGAGAGGGTAAAGAAACCCAAGACCTCAGAACATGTCCCCTCACACACCTGTAGGTCCCAGGATTTCTTCCCCCGCCATCCTCATAGGCCTCCTCTGTATCGGAACAAGATGAAGGGCGGAGAGGGGGAAATATGGTGGAAGTTTTTATTTAAAAAATCAGTCCATTATGCGCTGAACTGTATATGTGCACATGCAAATATAGTAATATAAATATAAGCAGATTTGCTTGTGCGCATATGAGGTCCAGCACATAATAGAATTAATTTTAAAAAACTTCAGTGGGATTTCTCCCTTCCCCTAATTGCTTCTTCAATGTCTGTTTAATATTATAAAGTTTAAAATAAAGAGTTTCAGAGTTCCAATTGCTCTCTGTTTGTGTTTCCTTTAAACCAGCTGTGTGTCTGTTTCCTAGCCCAATCAGTTGATCAGCTATTTTGAACTCTTTAAAAGTGGACATGTGCTGGAACAGTCTCCACAGGGGCAGGTGGGAGGAAATCATGTGTTTTTCCCAAATACGTGGATACAGTGATGCAAATATGCACATTTTGGCCAGAATAGGGATAAAAGGGCAACCAAAAGACTGGTGGTTTGAATCCGGGGAGCGGGATGAGCTGCCGTCTGTCAGTTCCACCTTCTCATGCAAGCACATGAGAGAAGCCTCCCACAGGATGGTAAAACATCTGGGCGTCCCCTGGGCAATGTTCTTGCAGTCAGCCAATTCTCTCACACCAGAAACGACTTGAAGTTTCTCAAGTCATTCCTGACACAAAAAAAGCATGCATTTATAACTGTCATGTAGTCATCCCCCTTCAACATGGAAAATCTTGTATTTTAGGTAATGTATAGATGGGTCCTGAGATCCCTAATGTCTGTAGACAATCTTTACCAAGCTAAATGTGTTGAACTACAAGCATATGGCTAACTTGGTGGCTGGCAAAATGCACTACCAGGGCATCAGGTGAGGGAAGGAACTTGCTGAAATATTAGTAAAGACAGGAGAAAGGCGACAACTTAGCTCTCACAATGCTTCAAGTAGAGCTGAAAGAACAATGGTGCATGAAGCGATGAACAATAACAGCAACTATGGAAATTTCAAGAGTGATTTGCAGCCCTGAAATTTCCCAGTTGAGCTGCAGAGCCAGAGCCCAATGAAAACAGAGCAAGAATTGAGGAGCTGCTCCACCCCTGTATCTTGTGTTGCTCAGCTCTCCTTTGCCCAGATTCCAATAAATGCAGCACACACCTGAAGCCCAGTATGGAAGGCCCATAGATGTGTGGCTCTTGTTTTTAACTTTTTGGTGACACATCCCCAAACTAGCAAGTAAACCAAAGTCCAGTCCTGTCTGGGTGGTCAGGTTATACTCCCAGGTGTGGAGGCTGGATTTCTATCCCATAAGGTCAGATACAGGAGAACGGAGCTCAGGGAAAAGCTGGATGCAAGGAAAGGGAAGCAGGCTCGACAGGCAATGTGGAGACGGTACTGGGGCAAATGATCCCTGGCCAGGAGCACCCAAATTCTTTCTGCCTACCCTGAGAAGACCCTAGCTTTCCAAGCTGGGCACACACCTGATTGGGGTCAATGATATAGTGGTGCTTCTCAGCGTAGATCATGGCCAGGGACACTGAGATGGCATAGGCCACGAAAGTGAGGGCCACCGTGTCACCCAGCACTTGGGGCAGCAGATGCAGGGCTGGGAGCTGGGGCTGTGGGAACCTGCATGAAAGAATGATGGAATGGGAATCACTGAGTGTCAGGAGGGACCGAGTTCATCCCTTCCCCAACCCATGAGCCATCCCAGGTGCGTGTCCATGTTACTCTAAGGCCAAGGAAGGAAGGTGCCCTTCCATTTCTCAGATCAACAGGCTGGGCAGTGACTGTGCCCTCAGTTGGCATGAAGGAATTGGAAAGCAGAGAAAGAAAGAGGCTCCTACCCTGCTGGGAGGTGTCCAACAATCTGCACCTTATAATGAGTATTTAGGGAGGAAGCGAAGCAGATCCCAGTGGCCAGCAGTACCTGTCAAGAACAACAAAGACAAAAACAAATGTGAAGGCCACACACTTCTTGTATGTGTTTAATTCCACTTTTTTTAAAAAAAAAATTGTTCACCACCTTGAGGAGACAGACAGAATACCAAGAAATTGGCAGTTATGTCAGTGGTGGCAGAGGAAAAGGAGGAGGAGGATGCAGTTGAAGAAAGCAACAATTTCTCCTGTTTAAGAATTTACACCCACCATGATGATTTCTCCTGGGATGGGGACCCACATCCGGCTACGGAAGCGGTTGTTGATCTCTTTTATAGGCACCAGCACAGCCAAGCAGAGACCAGAGATAAGTAATTCAGCAATGTTGGTTAAAGGCAAGGCTTCCACAACAGATGCCAGCGTCTAGGAGAAAACACAAATGTATAAACATAGGGTGCTCCTTGGATTATTTATATATTATTTCTTCAAATGTTTTCATCCTGTGCCCTTTTTGGGCAGCCAGCACAGTGTAGCGGTTCAAGCACTAGAGTGCCACTTTGGAGACCAGAATCCAAATCCGCACTCAAAAATGGGAACTCACATGTCACACTCTCAGTCTACAAAGAAGGCAGTGGCAAACTTGCTCTGAACAACTCATGCCAAGAAAACATGTTTGGTTTAGGGTTGCCATATGTTTGAATAACTTAGCACGGCAATAAATCCTTCCTTTTTCTCACAGTATCTCAGGGTAGCAAATCGATAAAAATGTAAAACAAGTGGAATGATTCAACAATTTGGAGCGATAAAGGGCCAGAAGCATTAAAACCATGTATATGTACATGCCTTCAAGTCACATGTTGTTTAGGCCCCATCTGCACTGCCAGACAAAATCCAGATTATCTGTTAATTAGACATTAACAGGTAGACTAATATAATTCCATGTATGGCAGTGTAGACTAATCTAGGTCAAAGCAGATAAAATGGTATTGTATATTAATATAATCCAGTTCAAAGCTGATAATCTGGATTTTATTTGGCAGTGTAGGTGGAGTTTTATCTCTACCTTATGCATTTCATAGATTTTCTTAGGGTGCATCTACAAAGTAGAATTAATGTAGTTGATATCACTTGAACTGCCATGGCCCAATAGTGTGGATTAATCAGATGTGTGGTTTTAAAAGCTCTTCAGCCTTCTCTTCCAAAGAGTGCTATTGTCTTACCAAGCTACAACTCCCATGACTCCATAGCATTGAGCCATGGCTATTAATGAAGTCAATCCACATTATTTTGTAGTGTAGATGCACCCTCAGTCCTCAAGCAGGTGTGTATATGTTTGTGTGTGTGCGTGTGTGTGTGTGTGTGTGTGTGTGGACACACATCATATTTTCCAGCATATAAAACGACTTGGTGTATAAGACAACCCTCAACTTTTCCAGTTAAAATATAGAGTTTGGGATATACTCGCCGTATAAGACTACCCCTCTTCCAGCAAAAATAAAATTTTTAAAAGCATCCGATTTTATTTCAATATGGTTTTTTCCTATTACTGTACTGTACCTCCTTCTCTGCCTCTCAGATCTCGCACATGCACACCTTCACTGCAGTCTTCAGGAACGAGATCTGAGAGGCAGAGGAGGAGGTACGGTAATAGGATACAAGGGTGGGCCAGACAGGTAAAAGAGGTATGTTTTTCTGGGCCCAGAGCAATTCTATCTCTTTTTCCATACCCCAGGCACTCCAGAAGCTTGCAGCTTGCTCCGCCTTTCACTTACACCTTCCCGGTGAGGCACCACTTCACCTCACCATCGGAACCGCATTAAGCACAAATCCTGATGAATGGATTTTCTTCTACCGTACTTGTACAGCGTCACCCTTAATGCTTTCATACAGTCGCTGCATACGGCAGGGATGCAGCCACTGCCATTTTTAAGCTCCCCGCACCATATGCGGCAACCACAGATTCTCCAATCTGGATTGGAAGTTTCAGCACCCGCTCTATAAGACGATACCTGGCATATAAGACTACTCTTGCGTAGAAGACTACTCCCGTGTAGGAGACTGCTCCCGCGTATAAGACGACTCCTGACTTTTTAGAAGATTTTCTTAGGTTAAAAAGTATTCTTATACACCAGAAAATACGGTATATAGATATATATGCGCACGGCCACACACACACCCATATATAGGGAGAGGTGCTTCTTCAAGTATTCAGCTTCCAAGCTGTTTAGGGTTCTGTATGTAGGGTGTCCATGTTTCCAATTAAGGAGAGGAGCTGGAAATGCTTGTAGCAGCTTGGGAAGAGGAGGAAGTTCTGCTTACTGAAAGCTTCAGTACTAATCAACATGAGCAGTAAGGACCAGTACACCTTTACATCCTTTTCTCAAATATGTTGAAAGCATGTAGAAACAATGTAGATTGACACCACTTTACCTGTCAGAGCTCAACTAATATAGGATCAGTTGGAGTGAGATAAGAAAAGCATTCTACCCCTAAACATATATTTCTGGTTTCCTCAGAGACATAAGCACTGATCCAAATACCTGGAAGATGGCAAAGCAGCCATCAGGTCGTGGCAGAGGCAGTCCTAGCAGGCTCTGGAGCTGAGACACCACTACATGCAAAGCAGCACCGCTGGTAAATGCCTTGACCACAGGTTCTGAGAGGTAGGTGGAGAGGAAACCCAGGCGAAGCGTAAACATCACAATCTGGGAATGAAGCAGGGGAAAGTGTCAGGACCAGCAGCAACAGAGGTTGGACCTACACTGCTATATAATCCAATTCAATGCAGTTAATCTGCATTCCGAAACTGCATTATATGGTTGTGTAGACCAATGCTTATACCCCCAAGCAAAATGAAAGCCATAGCATGTGGAACCAGGTGCACAATTCAGATTCCTCAAAGATTTTAATTTTTAATCGGGTTTCTAGTCCATATGATGGTGGAAGTAGGCATGGAAATGTGACATTTCAAAGATCTGCGGAATTGCTGAAGATCGTTCCAAAAGACAAGAGAACCAAATTTAAGAAAGCAGGCTCTGGTATCTTTAGATCTAGGATGCTACAGAACATAAACACAAAAATAGTTCATCAGGCATTAATGTAAGGGATTAATGGCCACCGAATGTGGTGATGCTCAGATACCCAGATGGTTTTTCAAAAGGATTAGGCAACACAAAAGGAGCCCCATGTCCAGAAGTATACTTCTGACTCACTATTTCATCTTTCATGCACCCTACGAAAAATCACAAAACATTCCATTATGCTAAATATCTTCCCTTGTGGGTTTAACCTTGTATTTTAGTCTTTTGGAATTGCTCATCCCTACCAAGTTCTAGCAAAACCTACAGACTTACCATGAGGAGTCCTACAAGGAAAGCCATGGCTGCAGCCACCCCAATGCGTTGCCCCTCCAACAAAGCTTCTTCATTAGGGACTGTGCCATTGGATGACAGGGACACAGGAACCAAACGCTCCACCACTGAACCAGTCATTAGGCTGACCACAGCAAAGGTACCTGTGAAAGGATCAGGCGACAAGCGAGAGAAGAACAAATCTGAGTGCTAGACACATGCAGATTAACTTTTGGGGACCACAACTCCCAGAATTCCCCAGCCATCATGGTCCTTGCTGCCTGAGGGATTTGGAAGCCTTTGGCCAAGCTCTGGGCTTGCCATTCTAACACCTATTCATAAATATCTTGTGTTTGCTACATTACCCACAGTCTCCCCATTTCTACTTTCCGCCTGTATCACCCACTTCTCCATATTCCAAGAGATTAAACATCTCCTGCTCTGTCTCAAGGATTTGGACAGATGGCATGGGACAGGCTGAGAAACAAGGACCATGGGAGCTTCAAAGTCCAATAGTTCTGTCTTTTTCTCCTGATTTTTTTTTTTTTTGCCATAAGAAAAAAGATGAAAGAGGCAGTGGCTATGGAAACATGGGAAGGATAACCAGCAGAAGATGCTACCATCTGCCCACCCACACCCAAATGGATGTGGCAGGGTGATAGCAGAATCATAGAATTCAATGGGACCACAAGGGCGTTCCAGTCAAACTTCCTGCTATGCAGGAATATGCAATCCTGAAAGATGGCCAGCCAGACTTATGTTAAAAGCCTCCAAAGAAAAAGACCCCACCAGACCTTCAGGCAGCATGTTTATTTAAAAACAAATTTGAAACTTCTCTCAGCAGTCCATGGAAATAGCTGGATTTGATCTTGGGCATGCTACATCATTAAATGCTCAGTCCAATGCCAGAAGCTTAGCTTAGTGATGTTTATAACTTAATTTCATGCACAGAATTATTAAAAACGTTGCATATAAAATTACCAAGCCATGTATATAAGCTATATATTTCATGTTTAGACTTGGGTCCCCTCTCAAGATATCTATATAAATAAAAATGTAATGTTCGTTCATGGGATTAACATAACTCAAAAACCACTGGACGAATTTCCGCCAAATTTGGCCACAAGACACCTACTAACCCAAGGAGTGACTATCACTCAAAATAAGGTGATTTTGTCATTTGGGAGTTGTAGTTGCTGGGATTTATAGTTAACCTACGCATTCTGAACTCCAACAATGATAGAATTGAACCAAATGTGGCATAACAGGACTCCCATGACCAACAGAAAACACTAGAAGTATTTGGTGAGTATTGACCTTGAGTTTGTGAGTTGTAGTTCATCTACATCCAGAGAGCACTGTGGACTCAAACAATGATGGATCTGGACCAAACTTGGCACGAATATTCCATATGCCCAAATATGAACACAGATGGAGTTTGGGGAAAATAGACCTTGACATTTGGGAGTTGTAGTTACTGGGATTTATAGTTCACCTATAATCAAAGAGCATTCTGAACCCCACCAACGACAGAATGGGGGCAAACTTCCCACACAGAACCCCCATGACCAACAGAAAATACTTAAGGCCATCCAATTCAACTTCCTTCACAAGAGCAAGAAAACGTAATCAAAGCCCTCCCAACAAAGAGCCATCTAGCCATAGATATAGATAGATATATATGATTCACACACACACAGATATAATATCATACATTTGAAATGGACCCCTTCAGAAGGGCAATGAAATGTTGCATGTTCCAGAGTAAGCAAACTGGACAATCTCCACATCAACACTGACAAAGAAACAGCAAGAAATAGTGTTTACCCACAAGCATAAATACATTACATATATTAGAAACCAACACTTTCTAATTATTTTATTTTCCATATCACCAGACTGGGCCACAGCAATGTGTGGCAGGGGACGGCTAGTGTACATATATGCAAATACTCCTGGCCCCAAGCATTTCAGATAAGCGTGGCTCAACCTGTAATATGTTGTGGCTGTAAATCTGTGGAATGGTATGACATCCAAACCCCCAAGAATGGCGAACCCCAAGTCCGAGGATGGCTATTGCAATTCTGGCTTCATCTTATGGTCTACTTACCTGTGGAGACATGACGTCCAGTACCAAAAAGCATGTATAGCAAAGCAGGGAAGAACGAGGTGTAGAGTCCATAAACTGGTGCTACTGAGGTTAAGAGAGCAAAGGCCATTCCTGGAGGATGAAGAACAAACAGAGAATTAGAGCTACCAGCTCAGGATTATCCAAGCCCAAGTCAAAACCTTTAACCCTGGACTGGTCTTAATGAGATTGTTAACAGTTATATACTATGTGCGAATTATAATTGCTCCTAAGAGGGACAAGGAGGCAACTGGCACAGAGAAAGGTGGAGAAGAAGACACATTACAGAAAGGATGACTTGAGTTTGTTCCAGGTGGAAAAATGGGATCTAACAGACATTTGATCATGCTGGCTCATCCAGATTATCAGTGCTCAGTAGCTGGAACAAAGTGTCTAGGTAACTTTGAAGTCATGTATCCCATGCTCCAATGCATACAAAGCATATCTTGGAAGCACCTCAAGGACCTGTGCCTCATTTTGCTACTGATATATTTCTGAAGTCTGGAATTATGCATAATAACATGACCACGATGTCCTCAATGACTGAAGAGATTTCTGTATCAAAATCATATGATTTTTGTAACATAATCTTTCACTAAGTAGAATCTGTCTTATCAGATGCAGTTATTTTACTATTTAATATTTAAGTATTTTAATTCGCATTTCATTTGTGGATTTCAATTTGTATTTCAGCTGTGTATTTTGTTGTATGTCTTTTATAGTATCTATCTCTTGTTTTAATGATGCTGTATCCCGGCTCAAGCTGCAGGATGAGGCGGGCAATAAATTCATTATTATTATTATTATTATTATTATTATTATTATTACTATTATTTGATACACAACAAGATTAGAACACAACAAACAAGATCACTATGATGGCTTTTGTATTCAATCACACGTTGGATACTTTGTTGGACAATTATTATTATTATTATCATTATTATTATTTGAAACACAACAAGATTAGTTCACAGCAAATAAGATCACTATGCTGGCTGTTGTATTGGATCACACATCGGACACTTCCCAAGTTGTTGTTGTGTTGTTGTTGTTGTATTACACCCCATCTTGCCATGCAAGTGGTGAAGTCCATGAACACAAGTTTGACAACAAACAGAAAGTACTCTTGTTAAGGTGTCTCAAGATGTAGTACTGTTTCTGTTGCAACAGACTACCACATGTCTTAAGACACGGGGGGGGGGGGGGGGGCCAAATGAGGTATCAACATAAAAATAGGCTCTGAAGGAATGGACTCTACATTGTGGAATGAATGCAATTTGACACCATTTTAATTGCCATTGATCAATGCTATAGAATCCTGGGAGTTGGAATTTGGTGCGGCACTCGCACTCTTTGGCAGACAAGGCTAAAGACATTGGAAAACCAAACAACTCCAAGGATTCTACAGCATTGAGCCATGGCAATTCAAGTGGTATCAAACTGCATTAACTCTACAGTGTAGATATACTCATAGACTCTGGTATCCAATGTTGCTTGGTGGGATTTGAGTGTGGAAAAATCCACCAAATGAACACTTTTTAAGCTCTTAAACTACCCTCTCAGATGTCTCCTATTAAGAGGTGGATACAGAAAGCATGCGATGCATCAGAATCAACCAGGATCAGCTAACACCTCCCAACAAAGGATTTCCCAGGTAGCAACCAGCCAGGCTTTGAAGCTGCAAGGCCAGTCAATGATAAGGTGGCCAATTGCAACATTCACACTTGCCTGAAGTTGACAAGAGTTCTTTCTCCCACCCTGGACATTCCACAGATATATAAACCTCACTTGCCTAGTTACCAACAGACCTCCCAACCTCTGAGGATGCTTGCCATAGATGTGGGAGAAACATCAGGAGATAATGCTTCTGGAACATGGCCATACAGACTGGAAAATTCACAGCAACCCATGCAACCCATTGCTGCATATCATGCCACACACACCTTAAAAGGGGCAGGCATGGCATGATTCCAGTCTGGGTTTGGAAAGACATCCAGGAGCTGCTCAGGTTTGTTTTAATTCTGCCACACAGCTACATTCACGTCCTGCTCCAGCGAATGTGTGACAGAGCCACAGAAAAAGGAGAGAGTAATTCAGGAAGCAATATGGGCTCTCGAACTGTGCTTTGTGTGTTTACTTGCAATGGACGTTCCTCTGTGCCCAATGCTTTCAGGTAAGTGTGCAACAGATTGCAGCCTTAGAAAGTGCAAAAGCTATCTCTAGAATATTTTTTTCAAAGCTAGGAATCTGATCAAAGTTGCAGGGAACCAGGGAAGAAGTGAGAAGTTGGTGGTGTGCAGAACAGAATTACAGGTGAACAGAGAAGTATGTGTATGTGTGTGTGAGAGAGAGAGATCAAATAAAACTTAGAGGGAATCAATGTCAAAAGGTGGATGTAAGAAACCCAGTCTACAGGAGGCTGAAATCAAAATCTCATGTGGGTGGGTTTGAGAACAGCAAAGTTCGGAGCTCTGTAGAAGAGGCAATATTGTGATAGTTTTGGGGATGATCTGAAGGCACACAACATCATCATCAACAACAAAAACAACAACAACAACAACAACAAAGAGAGCAGTGCCATCAATCAGAAACTGGATGGGCAAAAAAAAGAGATCAGGACCTAAGAAGGCAACCAAAGAGAGAGAGAGAGAGAGAGAGAGCGAGAGAGAGCGAGAAACTGAAGTTGTAGACGAGAAGCAGAAAGTAGGTATGTAAAATGTAAAAGTAAAATGTAGAAAGTAGGTATGTAAAATCAGAAGTGAAAGTGGGATTAAAAACATGGAAAGATGAGAAGCCTAAGCAGGGGGAAGTGCAGGAACAAGGATGACACCTATGTGTGGTTTTTCCGTTTCCTCCAGTTTTCACACACATTCTTTGCCGCTCAGCTCAGTCAATAATACCTCCAGTGTGGGAGAGGAGCCCCAACTCTTAAACCTGTATGTTTGAGCAGCCTTCTCCAGGCCATATTCTTCTTCAGCCTTTTAGGATGCAATTGATGCTGTGCCTTCTAGGTTCGAAGCAGACCCTCACGCCCACTCACTGACTCACCTTGTGGGATGTGTACAATGCCCACAGTCAGCCCTGCCACCAGGTCCCCCGGGAGCCACTTCTTAGGCTGGTACTTGGGCAGCCAGCTGGCAATCGGAAGCCTCCTCTGGAACAAGTGCCAGGCAGCAGCCCGGGAGCATCGACATCCCCGGCTCAGCTTGCCCTTCAGCATCTCTGCCAAGCTGCCCTCTGGCTCTGGAGTGGCAGCCACTCCATAGACCTGCTGGAAATGTTCTTCAGTGTAGATGCCACGGTACAAGGCCAAACTGCTGCTCATGGTGCTAGAGCTGTCAGCAAAGCAGTCTGTTCAGAACAGTTCAGGCAGGATGCTCTCTGTTACCTTTTATTCCTGCCTGGGCTTGCCTTTCCTGGCCAATCGTATCTCATGGGTTGCTGGGATTCTCCTCCCTCCGGGAAGCAGGATGGGGTCTGGGCAGGAAGAGGGAGGAAGCCCAGGGCCAAGTGAAGTGTCAAATGCAGGGCAGCAAAGCGCCAAGGAGGCCGCCAGAATCTTTGCCCTCTCTGAATCAGCATGCCCTGGCCCCTTGAAGATGCTTTGCCATCTCCCTTGTTGCCAGAGAACCTCCCTAGTCTGAACAATGTATGCATGTGTACGTTTGCTTTCAAGTCGCCTGCCAATAACTTATGACACGCGACTTCAAGACATCTATGCATACACAAACCTCATAAATATCATAGGATTTTAAAAGGCAAAGAATGGTTATTACTGGCTAGTATCAGTTCCCTTGAAATATAGCTCACAGCACCTGGGATCCATTGCTGGTCTCCCATCAGAGTACTGACGAAGGATGATCTGTTTAGGTTCCAGATTAGACAGGATCATTAAGTTATTTAGGCCCTTAGTTTACACTGCCATATAAAATCCAAAATCCGTCTACACTGCCATATAAAATCCAAATTATCTGCTTTGAGCTGGAGTATACGGCAGTAGGTAAAGATTTTCCCCTGACATTAAGTCCAGTCGTGTCCAACTCTGGGATACGGTCCTCATCTCCATTTCTAAGCCGAAGAGCCAGCATTGTCCATAGACACCTCCAAGGTCATGTGGCCGGCATGACTGCATGGAGCACTGTTACCTTCCAGTCGGTGCGATACCTATTGATCAAACCACATTTGCATCTTTTTAAACTGCTAGGTTGACAGAAGCTGCGGCTGACAGCAGAAGCTCACGCCACTTCCCGGATTTGAACCTGCAACCTTTTGGTCAAGAAGCTCAGAGTAAAATGATCCAGTTCAAAGCAAACAAAGTGGATTATTTGCTTTGATAATCTGGAATATATGGCAGTGTAGAAGGGACCTTTGTTCCCTTTGCATTTTTTTGAATTTCAACTCCCATAATTCCTGTGACACTATATTAGTTTGGGATCCTGGAAGTTCTTCCCCAAAAGAGTAATTCTGCCATGAACTGAGCTATTCACGCTGTGCCCACCTTCTAATGTGTCTTTTCTGGGTGGAAAAAAGGGAAGGGCCAATTGCAAGTACCGATTATCTACTTTGAACTGGATTATATGGCAATGTAGACTCATATAATTCAGTTCAAAGCAGATAATGTGGACAAATCTGGATTATATGGCAGTGAAGATCCAGCCTGAGTGCACACTGCCATGTAATCAAGTTCAAAGCATATTATCTGGATTCAGATACTGGATTATATGACAGTGTAGATGGGGCCAGAGTCACTCAGCATCATTTTAGCAATGGGTCCTGAAAACCTAGTCAGCCCACACCAATTCCAGCATGCCCATCACTTGATTGCTGCACAAACAAGTTCACACTCTTTTGTACCTAGATTTTCAAACCGAATATCTCGTTCCTAATTTAGAATGACTGACAAAGATCAGATTGTCTCACTATTATTTCTCCAACAATATCAGAAGAATGGAACAGTGTCTCTATTTACCATACTTGAATCTCTAATTCTGAGTCTAACGGACTGGTAAAATGAAAGGATACAGGGTACGAAACCTATGTCAAGTGATTTCAAACATGCACTACAGAGTCTCAAAAATGAAGAAAGGCTTTTCTTTCTTTCTTTCTTTCTTTCTTTCTTTCTTTCTTTCTTTCCATTTGAGAGATCTTGGCCTTTGTTTATACTCTGAAATTCAGAACTTATCAGAAGTTTTGAACCCACTTTACTTGGCAGCGTGTTCAACCCAAGTCCTCACACTGACCCCTTCAAAGTTGTTTTGTTTCCTACAGGATAGCCTGGACTTTGCGTAACCTGTGCTGGAGAAAATCCCTTTTCTATAAACAGAACCTTCTCATTGAAACCGCATCTTGGGCCAAGAGCTGCTAACAAAATAAATGCTTCTTTGGGCAGCCCAGAGTCTCAGATCAGCAAAAGGCTATCCCCAGGTTTCTTGTTCTTTTCATCTCTCTTTTTCTCTCAGCTCCACTACACCAAACAGAGAAACTATTATTTCCTTGGGTGTAAACAAAGGGCACACAGCGGTTTGGTAAGTCACCAGGGTCCAGCAGCAGCTTGGAAAGGACCAGACAAGGCAGCTCAATGGCGTCAGCCAGAGGCGCCACCAGACATGCAAGCTCTAGTGTTCCTCATAAGGCTTTTTTAGAAGAATGGTGGTAACAGTGGTGATGATAGCCACTGCTTCGAGTATTAAAGGAGCATCTCATAATTATTGCAACTCACAGCGATTTGATATTGTCTCTCCTCCTGCCATGATAATCAGCAATTATGTGATCTGTATGGCGTGGAAATTTCAAAGGATCAAAATTACACATCCATTTCCAAATGTTTGTCTTATTCTTTTTATTATGAAGTTAGATCTATGGCAATCAACTAAATCAACATCCAAAATCCTCAAGTGAGCTACAATTTCCTTAGAACTCTATGGGGCGGGGAGAAAGTTGGAGGGATAGAAAATGCTGGTGTATCTTTTCACAGGTGGCACCAAAATGCAGACCAATTAAATGCAATAGTATTTTTTTTCTTAGCCCCAAGTTGGTTTTAAATATTCTTCTAATACACTGATATTTATTCTTCCATTTCTGTTTTTCACACATGCATTTCAGCCACAAGAGACCTGGATGAATCTAGATGTGACTGTGTATGAAGAATGCCTTTCTACATGCATTCAGCATATGAAAACTTTCATATACCAGCAGTGTCTGCTCACCAGCTTCTTCCCAGTTCTTCCCAGTTAATGAAATAGAAAGACAATTTCAAAAAAAGCACACAAATAGGGTATCAGAATCATGGTCTTATAATGCAGGAGTACCTTCAGAAAGAAAAATAATAAAATCTGTGCTGTCGCACGCTGGGCCTGTGCATATGACTGTAGACAGGACATAAATTCTGTGTGCCCAACGGGACGCCGGGGCTGCCTCAGATTAAAGGCCCTTGGACCTCCCCAAAACAAAGTTCTGTAGAGGCTTAAAGTAAGTCCAACAAAGTTCTTTATTTATGAAAACAAACAGGTACTTTCAAGCTTTCTTAACAGCCTATTGGCTCTTGCAATCTTGTTCACTGGGAACAGGCACTATCTTCCTAACTGTAATTAACTAATGGGGAAATCCTTAACTTCTAATCTGGGCAGTCTGTACTTGCCTCTGTTGGCGTGGAGCCCCTGCACCCGGTACCAACTGCGTCTGGCTTCCACGAGCAACACTTGCCAAGCAGAGCTTTGTAGACTTCCAGGGGAAAAGAAGGAGTTCAGGTTTCAGTGATGGCTGACTGAAGTCCCTCAGTGAAGGAGCGGTAAGGCTGTATAACTCCAGTCAGGCTGTAGGCTGTATATCTCCCCGGCCAAGCCGTAGAAGACTAAGCTTTCTACAGGAGCTCTTCGTTTTATGTCCTGTGCAAAAGCTGCTCTGTGTAGACTGAACTCAAAATGGCTCCTATTCCCACTAAAACTCAAAAAGGGGCGGAACCAGGAAACCTAACGATCATTGACAGGTGGCTTGCCCTATGATTGCAGCCAAAAGAAGCCACCTATCTGCAGAGTCCCTGAAACTTAGGACTGCAACAAACATTAAATGCAAAGCAAACAAAATTGGAGCTCCTGGTGCAGTTGTACCAGCACAAAATCAAAAAGGTTAGCCATGATAACTTGGAATGGATCCTCCATACCCAGAGGCTGTATATCTCTGGGTCCTAAAAGCAACTGAGGGAGATACAACAGAAGTCAACTCTACTGGGATTTATCTCTACTTAGCTGTCATCCAGCAGCCATTCAATCAACTGAGGAAGAGAGAGAGAGAGAAGGAAAGAAAGAAGGACGGACAGACCCATCTTAAGGGAACGAGGGAGAGAGTTTCTCCTCCGTGACCCCCCGACTCTGGAAAGCATTACCCAGCGAGATTAGGCTAACCCCCACCTTAGAAACTTTTAAGAAGAACCTTAAGACATGGCTTTTCCGTTGCGCTTTTGGGGAGTGATTTCCCATCTCCTTTGCTATGCTCCTCTCTAATGGGTGTCCTCATATTGTATTGTCTCCTGACCATATGAAGGATTGTCTCTACTACTCCATTCCTGAGTCTCCCTTACAAATATATAGGTTTTTTATTTTTATCTCATCCTGAGTTTTTATCATTGTATCTTGCACATGTGGCCCACTCATTGTGATTGTGTTTGATTTTCTATTGTATTACTTTGCATTGTTTCTTATATTTTATGCTTGCTTTATTTTATTTTATTATGACGTGGACTTATGCTTTTTTTTGTTACTGTATTGTAATGCATTTCTGGGCTTGGCCTCATGTAAGCCGCCCCAAGTCCCCTTTGGGGAGATGGTGGCGCGGTATAAATACAGATTATTATTATATTACTTCCCCCGCAAGAAGGGGACCTGGGTGAGTTAGGAGATGCAGGGCGTGAGACGACAGGTTTCCTACACCCCTGGATGGGCACCACTGGAATTGCCATGATCCGTGGCGAATCTCACATGTGTAGTTTGCAAACCCAGGGCTCACCTACACTGTCATATAATCCCATTCCTGAATCTGGATTATCTGCTTTGGATTACATGAGTCTACACTGCCCTATAATTCAGTCCAAAGCAGATAATCTAGATTCAGAAACTGGATTATATGGCAGTGTAGATCCAGCCTCAGACTCAAGGTAGATTGGCTCTCAGATGCAAATGAGCTTCAGATATCAGGAGAATTACCTGTTTTCCAAGTGCTTGCTGTACTATAAGATTCGTACCTCCCTAACTTCGCCACAGGTATCACTCACCACTCACTCACCAGAAGTAAATGATTATTCTCTGCTTGTAGCAACCTCCAACCAGGCAGATCACCTTTACCTATGGCAACCAGGC